CCAACTTTGGAGAGAGAGAGACAGGGAGGTCTACCCAGGGCTGCCTGGCCAGCCAGCCAAAGTCAGGGAGCTCTAGGCCAATGAAGGACCCTGTCTTGAAAATCAACATGGGCAGTCCTTAAGGAATAACACCCAAGTTTGACCCTCTTGCCATCACACACGCCATGTACAACCCCTAGAAACAATGGGCTTGACCCTCAGTCTGGTTTCATCCTCTTCTCCCTTGTGTGATTTGGGGAAACTGACAAGACCTTTCTAAGCATTAATTCCCTTGTGTAAAATGAAGCCAATAACAACGCTGGCTTCTTGGGGCTGCAGAGGGATGAAGGAGATAGTGTGCCAGAGAATGAACTATGCGGTGACTGCTGGATAGCTACATCCACTGTCACACCCCAAATCTAAAAGAAAATGCACAACTGAGGTTCCCAAGGAACTGATGGACAGGGTTGGGGGTCAAAGGATCAGCTGAGGCACAGAACAAGAGGGCAGACACATTCTGGAGGTGCAGACACCTTTTCCATGATCGTTTTGCCTGCTCTCTGCTCACTTGGTAGAAAGGGACACTGAAGAGCTCTTGAACCAACAGGTGCTCCTGACTAACACCAAAAGCTAACCTGGAAATGGGGTCCAGTGTCTCTCTGCCAGAGGACAATGCAGACAGGGAGACAGTATAGGGACTCTGCTCCAGAAAAGGAGAAGCTTTGTCCACTTTCTAACTCAGTTCTTGGGGTGCTCTTGAATGTGGGGTGTGCCTCTCTGCTGTTCCCTCAGCTCAGGGGACATTCGATGGCCACAGTCAACTTGACAAATAGATTCAAGTATAAGTGCTTGAGAAGCATCCAAGGGTCCACGGTGTCTAATAATGTGCCTGTTTGCTCTGGCACCAGCTTGAATTGCATCAGATCGGAGCATGAAACAAGTCAACACACAGCTTGTGCCCAAGCCCAGTCAACAGCCTGGCATGCCCCTCGGTGTGGACTGGTAATGTCTTATTTATAGTTGTTTGTGTGGTGACTCTCATTAAGGGTCCCCTGGGCTCCCTAGTTCTGCTAGTTCAGTGAGACTTTATTGCATTTTCACATGTACTTATATGCCATTATGTTATGGTAGTAGTATATTTGTACGTTTATGTCTATTTGTATATATTATATTGTTATGGCCATCTTATTAGTCTATTCGAATCATTATATATATTGTTAAATCATTTTTGCTACACTAGGGCATGAGGATTTCTAGATTTCTTGACACAGAATTCTTATGGACAGCAAGTGTGTGTGTGTGTGTGTGTGTGGTTTATACTCACATTTATGTATGTAGGTGTGTGTGCATAGATGTGGGTGGGTTTGGAGGCCAGAGGAGGACATCAGGTATTTTTCTCCTAACCACTATTATTTTCAGATAAGGTCCGGAAGTCCTACTGACCCCTCTGTCATGTCCTCAATAGTGCTTGGAGTGACTGATATGTGTGTGTCTACACTTTGCTTTTTGCATGGATGCTGGGATCCTACTCAGGGTCTCATGTTTGAGTGACATATGCTTTATCCACTGAGCCAGCTCCACAACCCAGACAGCAGTGTTTTCTTCTGTCATTTGAAGCTGGCCTCTGGCTGAGTGGACACAGTTCAACTTATCCCTTCCTGGCCAGGCTGATTGCTAAGGACCCTTCATGGCAGGACTAGTCACCCTTCAGGATTTCTGTCTTCTGACTGATAGCATAGAGGAAGGGAAGTACATGCCTGCTCTTCTTTCTTGCTCAGTATGTCTGGCCTCTTTTTACACACACACACACACACACACACACACACACACACACCTGTTCCCCCATTATTTCCCTTCAGGAACTCAAGTTTCTTAAGGCTTACTGGGGCTGGCCAGTGTAGGATGATCAAGGGCCAGTGAGGACGCCAACCTGAGAATAAAGTCACCCCAGCTGAGCTAAGGAAAAGAGCAATTGAAATAATGTTGTTCAACTGCTAAGACAAAACTGTATATGAAATTGACATCTCCACTGTCTTTTTCAAGAGACAATTAAATGTCTTTATTTGCATAAACAAGCTTGGGCTGGATTTCTGTCTTTTACAAAGGATGAATTCCGACAACCTGGGCCTAAAGGCGCTCTGTGTGGCTGTAGGATCTAAGCAAACAGAAACCCATCAGGATGCCCTGGGCAGCTGCAGTATCTCCTCCTCCACTAGATCTTGAAGGTAGACATGCTATGCATCCCATTGGCCTTGCTGCCAGCCTTGCACCCAGGAAGAACCATTAGATCCCCATAGCAGTCGCCACAGGAAGTTTAAAGTGTGTACCTCAGGCTTTGCAACTGTCCCCCCAAGTTCATCACTGGGCATCACTGCCCTTCCAAACAAGGACCATCCTTAGGAGGATGGTAGCTCAACCTACCTCAAGGCATGCACAGAGGACAAAATCCAGGCAACTGACAGGAACCAAATCAAGATTTTGAGACTATCTTATGGCGAGATCACTCTCAGAATGACGAGAAGAACAAGCCAACGTTTGAGTTGGCCAGCACACAGGAGGGGATAAGCCATGTTGTCATGGTGCAGGCTACTCACAACTGCTCCTGATATAGGGACTGGGTTCTGGGATGTCACAACCAAGATAGACAGCCAGTGACAGTGCTGTCATTCAAGCTGGCTCTTGAGAAGAGCAGAAGATCCTCCAAGGAGAGCCAGCTTGGCCTTCTGTGATATAGAACAGAAATGTCACAGAGGCCACTGAAGGCAGTCACAAGCCTGTGCGATTGGGAGTTTAGCGAACCATCTGGCTATCAGTAGAATTTTGACTGACTGTAACCAGTAAAACAAAGACTGCAGAACAGCCGGTTCCTGGATAGCCCTGCAGGAACTCCCCACACATGTGCTTGCTATGTGGCATGCTGAGTGAATTCTTGGAAACCAGGAGCCCACCCAAATTAATAGGAGCAGCTTAAAAACTGTCTCACGGAAAATAAAGATGTTCTTTGGATCTAATCTTGTTCACACAGACTTTAAGATAAAAGAAAAAAAAAACCCTCAGTGTGTCAATGTGTGAGACGGCTGCATAATCCCAACACTGGGGAGAGACAGGCAGACTTCTGGGGCTTGATGGGGGCTTGCTGGTCAATCTAAGGAAATATAAGTGGACAGCATCTAAGGAAAGAAACTGAAGTTGTCCACTGCCATCCACATGATATGCATTCACACACACAGGAACACGCAGACACAGCACATACAAAGAAACCAGCTACTGTAAAGCAGGCATGAACCTGTCATCCCAATAACTTTCAAAAGTTGTCCGTAATCATGCGACTTGGAAAACTAATGTCTTCCCAGGTGAAGAAACCCAAAGTGAAGGCCATTGTAGTCTCTGTCGGGGACAGGTGGAGAGGAGAGACTTGGGATGGGCTTACAAACAAAGGGGCTGCCTGAACCTTACCTAAAATAGAAAATAAAACCAAACCACAAAACAAACCAATAAAAAACAGCTTAGACCTGTCAGTTTTCTCTTTGGAGCCATCCACAGAGCAACAAGAATTCCTGCAGCAGACTGACCACCTAGGAGCCTTTTTGAAGGTTAAGTGAAAGCCCAGGAAGAGGGTCCACTGTTGGTCCATCTTTAAAACATCTGTTCTGTTTTGTTTTCAATGATTTACCCATTTTATGCTTTGTCTCTATGTATGTATGGACATCACAGGCATGCTTGGTGCCTGAGGAGACTGGAAGAAGACATCGATTGGAAGTGGAATTGTAGATGGTGGAGAATCACCTTGTGGATGCTGGGAATGCAACCGGGGTCATCTGCAAGAGAGCAAGTGTTCTTAACCACGGAGCCATGGCTACAGCCCAAATCTTGGTGGTGTTTTGTTTTGAGACAGAATGTTACCAGGTAGCCCTGACTGGCAGGGAACCCTCTGGCCTCAAACTCAAGGTGGTCCCCTGCTACCTGAGTGCTGGGTTTAAAGGCAAGTGTTAAAGCCACTACACCCTGTCAGCTCCCAATGACTCCCCGAAGCTTTACCTGGAGGGGTTACTGGAAGGGACGGGGCTGGGGGGGTTAGTTCTCAATCACTAAAACAAGCATTAGCTTTGGGGAACCAGCATTGTTCTTTACTGCTTGAGTGACCAGAGCCTTTCTGACCTCCAGATAAAATGGTGGCGATTCTTCTCTTGCAGGAAGGTGTAGGAAAGGAACCAACCACGTAGTGGTTAGAACTTAAAAGCTCCTCCTCCCTTCTCTTCAGGCCACAAGGAGGAAAGTGGGTCGCTTCACACCCCCAGGCTCACGGAGAGGCAGGAAGAGCAAGGAGGAGGCAGGGGTGGAGGTGGGGGTAGAGAGAAGATTGAGGGGGAAAAGGATGGGCAAGAAAGCTAATCTCCCAGCTGGTGCAGAGCCCCACACGGTGCCTTACTGACGCACATTCAGAGATTCGAGTTCCCTGCACCCGCGTGGGTGACTTTGAAACAGATTCCCGCCTGGCACAGCGTACTCTCCAGCGGCTCACGTGAAATCGATCACGGCAAAGTCACACCCTACAGCCAGAGCAATTCGGGAAGCTTGGCTCTTCCACAAACAAGGTATTGGGCTCTTTCCTCCCCATTCCCTTCCTCTGCGGCTCAGCTTCTCCCTCCGCATCACTGTCCACGTGCAGACTCAGAAGGCGCCCACCCCCACCCGGGCGGGTCCCCACCCTAGGGCATCGGATCCTGCGGGTTGTTTACCAGTTGGCCATCTCCCGAGGCCCTGCGCGGTGCCGCCACCTGCCGGCGGGAGACTGAACTGCACCCGCGGGTACGGGCCAGCAACTGCGGGCTGATGACCCAACGCCGCAGGCATCCGAGGATAACCTTTCCCCTTTCTTTCCAAGACCAAATAAGGGGGCTCTTCCCTCTGTGAGCTGTGCTTGTGGCGGTTAGGCCAAGGGGCGTGGAAAGGAGGATCTCAGAACGAGGCTGACAGTCAGCTAAACAACCCACTACATTGTTCCCGCCCCACATGGCCTCCTCCCTGCACCCGTCCCCACATGCAGCAGCAGAATAGTGGGTAGAATTGCCAGGGTATGGGACCATCCTGAACCCCATCAGCAGCAATTCCAGCGCCCCGCCCCCAACCTCAGGCATGAAGACCAAGGTGCCTGCAGTAGCTTGCTCCTGGGTGTTGTCGCTCTGCACCCTCTGGGCCTGGGGGTCAGTAGGGCTGAGAGGAGCCTCAGACCCTGGGGAGGGGCAAGGGGTGTCACTTGTAGAGGAGCTAGACAGGGCTGTCAGGCCTCTGAACCCTGGCATCACCCACACGGAGGGAGTCTCAGTGGCTGACAGTGTTCAGTAACCACAGAAACCAAGATTTGACCCATATTTTCAAACATGGCCTCAACTCTAGCTTCCCCTCCTTGAAATCGTAGTGAAAGCGTCTGACTTGACTTGCTATGAATGTTCCTCTTGCTTTAGATTCCAGGATGCCACCCAGAAGGCAAATCAAGAAACCTCACTGGATGGTTTGTGGATGACTTGGGAGGGTCCCAACGGTTCCAGGAAGGAGGCACAGGCTATCCTCGTTCACTGACTCTTTCCAATCACAGTGTCCTGTCCAAAGCTCGATAACACTTCCAGAGGACTAGATGATAGCTCTCACGATTGTCCGTGTCCGTGCTTTTTGACTGTCTGTGTGCTTTGGGTGTTTGGGGTAATGAAGTGGAGGGGTACAATCTGACACTTTGGGCAGGATGGCAGGATGCTTATAGTCTGTCCATTTCGAGCCTTATTCTAAATATCCCACATCATCACCATCTACAGTGATTACTACCTCTGCTAAAGAGAAGGACCATGCCTTCAGAAAGCACGGCTTTCCACTTACCACTCCGCCAGGTCACTAACTGGATTCAGGCTCAGGCCTTGGGGCTCCAGAGTATGTATACCCTTAACCCAAACACTAAGTGTTCGTTAATGGGGATTTGATCACTTTACAGCATACCCATACAATGGGATCTTCTCTGGCTGCTTAAATGGTAATGTAGAGTAATGTAGAATAATTGGCGGGGGTGGGGGTGGGGTTGGGGATATCCACAACACAGTGTTAAATGGACCCAGCAGGGAGCCAACATGGTGTATAACTGGATCTTGTCTGGTGGCTCTTCAAAGGGCACTCATGGCAGTACTAAGCTGTGGTCCTTGGTGGGTGGCAGGACTTTAGGTGGCTAATTTTACAGGGATGCTTTCTTTCTTCATTTGCTGAGCTCTTTGTGATCCACTGTCAAGGCTGTGAATAAATCCCCCACAAAGTCTTCCCTGATCCCCCGAATTGGACGCTGAAGATCCCCATGTCCCTCTGGTGTGGGAACTTGTGTGGGATGGTTACTTAGCTACGTGAGCACACGACTGTGTCGCCAGCTGAACCGCTGACTTTGGAAGGGAGACATGAGCGCTTTCTCTGGTTTCCATGTTTCCTTTGTGTTCACTGTGGGACTCAAATATTTACCTATAGACTGACATCACCCAGTGCTGATGGGAGGGCCCACTGAAGAATTAATTCCATAATTAGTCGTTTGATGCCACCCTTCTTTTAGTTCAATAAGTTCCCAAGGACAGAGACATGCTTTTCCTAATTAGCTCCATGTTCTGACACTAGGTCTGCCATAGCACACAGTAGGTACTCCATATAGGTTTACTATGAAAATGAGCACAGCCCTTCTTCTTCTTCTTGAGAAAGCAATATGGGAACACTCTCTGTCCCGATGCACTATCAAACAATTAAGCATCTCTACAAGACAGAGACTTTTAGTAGGAACTGGTTCTGGCTAACAGAGCAGAAAGGGGCAGTTTGGAACTGACACGAAGGCAGAAGAAGCCTTAAAAACTGGGCAGGAAACAAAGGAAGTCAAGCTGAAGGAAGACCTAGTCAGTGATACCAGGAAATAGCAGCTGGTTCCAGCACCCCTGAGCACTGCTGCCTGCTCCCACAGATGTTGCCAATGTAGCCAGATGCTGTTGCAGTGGTAGACCCTGGCTTGTCACTGGCTATTGGATCATTTACCTGAGACTCCTGGTGTCCAATGAGATCAACTGGCTAAAGCCAAAGCCATATACCTAATGACATACTGGCCAGTACTTAATCTGCATGCCAACAGGAAAAGCCACAGCCCCGTATCCTAGCATTTACTGTCTCTGCTGAAAACATCCCCCACCAGGGCTGATTTTCATGTCAATCATTTAACCACCAGCTCAAGAGACTCCTGAGACTTGAAAAGTTGGTGATGGTGGGCCTGATGAGTCATTCTCTGGTGTCTTCCTGTGTAGGGCATGCCAGCCAACCCCCTCCAGAGAAAACACATGTCCACATCTCAATGAGATGCTGACGCTGTGTCAGAGAGGCTAGGCAGAACGTAGGTTAATATGCTGTCTGGCTACTTCTTACAGGAGCACTCAGAACCCAAAGGAAGGTCAAGTGTAGAGTCCCAGAGAGTGTAGCATGTGGCTGAGGGAAGAGTCTGGAGGCAGAGGTGGATGACAGGAGAGATGTTTAGATCTGTACTAATCAGACTTCAGGCAGAGTCTCTATTGTGCATATTACAAACAACCTGCCAAGGACAGAGCATGAGAGCCTGCTCTGAATTTGTTGATGGAGGGTCATAGAAGGCCCTCCTGCCTTCTTCAGGAGGGACTAACCTCTCGCACTAGGTCTCAAGTCCAAGGGCTAAAATAGTTACATTCTGGATATAGTGCTATACAGAATTTACTGCATGTACAAGGCAGGACACCCACAGATCACTAGTGGGCAAGTTGCCGGGGGGTTTAAAGCCAGCCAGTGTGCTTGCTGAAGGCCATGGTGTTGATCATGAAGCCATCCTGACTTGGCCCATCAGTAGCCACTTGTGGTTGCCTTTGAATGAACCACAAGGCATGCCCACAGTTTGGAAAATAGAGACTCTGAGGCTTCGATTAAAGACTCTGTTGGGACAGTATGGTCAGGCTGACCTACCCTGGTATCCCAGGTCCATGCTTGCCAGCTTCCTCCCATGTGGAAATGCATGTGGCCATCCCCAATCCTGGGTAGCAGAGCTGTGTGAGCTAAGATGTGTGGCAGATAATACCTCACAGTCTGTTAATAAATGCAGTCTTATGGGATAGTTTGCTTAAGGTGAAATTAGTATAGGAACCACTTATTTTAGGAGTGTAAAATCATCTCTCATATATCACTTATGGACAGTCACTGTCAGTTTTGAAGTTGCTGGGAACTTTTTCAGCTTAAACTTCACTTAAGGATGCAGACATATGACAGATTGCTCCTAGTTACAGGAACAAGCTTAGCAAATGGTGTATTGGCTCTTCCAACTCCCCTGGGACATGGCCTGTGTTGTCTGCACTCACAATATACTGGCCTGGCTGAGAGGCGGCAAATCACCTGGCCAACTCTTAGCATATGGACAGCCTGGAAGATATTTAGTGACTCTAGAACTTTCGGGGAATCCTGCTGGAGGTATCCAGAGGACCATTGCCTGGGAAGGTAGGAATGGGACACTAAAAGTGGCTTAAGTATTTGGGAGTAAGAATAAATGACCCAGGAGAAAAATATGCCTATAGGGCCATGTTAGCATGGACCCTGTTGGCAGCCAACAGGGAAAACTTAAAAGAAGTGGGTGGGTGAACGGAAGTAAAAATGGAGGTTACCAGAAACATCAGAAATGAGGAAGTCCTCTGGATTCCCCACAGTGGAATGCCTTGTGGGTGACATGGATCCACTGAGGAGCTCTGGTTTCACTGCCAGTTGCAGGGGCCATGCCACACTTCTGAGCACAGGAAGGAGATTGACTTATCTGCCTCCTCCACCATAGGACCCTCCCTGTCCCTCCCGGAGCTGTGCAGAGTCCCTAGCGGTATGCTTCCCCCCCCCCCCACAAAGAGGTCTTCACAGCCTGGGAGAGGGTGGCTCAGCTGATAAAGAACTTACCACGAAAGCCTGACCGCCTGAGTTTGATCCCTGATGGCCACGTCAAGGTGGAAGGAAAGGAACTAAGTCTTTTGACTCGGGCCATGGCAGAAGTGCACCCAATGATGCTGATGACAATGAAGGAGGAGGAAGAAGAGGAGAGGGAGGAGGAAGAGGAAGAGGAGGAGGGGGAGGAGAACAACAGCAATGATTAGATGACTCATTGCAGTATCTACTTGAGTTTCCTTATTTAAAAAAAAATATGTGTGTATTAAACTTTAAACATGCAAAGAGAGCCTAGCACAGTGAATGCTTATGTACACACTGTGGACCCTGTTTGCAGTTACGCTCTGATGGTGACATCATCAGACCATCTTTGCACAGGCTTGGTCTGGTCCACACAACGAGCCTTGTTATTGTCTCTTTTAGCAGATGACAGAATTAGACTCAGAGAAGTGACTGGCCCACAGACACACAATGAGGGCAGCTGACAATGGTTTCCCTCACGGAAGGCCTGATGCTATCAGGGTACTCTCTCAGTCAGGGTACTCTCTCAGGGATGGGCAGAGTTTAAGCAGAGGCCGTGATGGGTATCCTAGCTAGGTTTCCATTGCTGTGATAAAACACAGACCAAAAACACTGTGGGGAGGAAAGGGTTTATTTCATTTTACAGTCAATCACTTTGTGAAGTCAGGACAGGAACCTAGAGCTAGGAACAGAAGCAGAGACCATGGAGGAACGCTATTCACTGGCTTGCTCAGCTGACTTCTTTCTACAACCCTGGACCACCTGACCAGAGGGAGTCCTGACCTAGTGAGCTAGGCCCTTAATCAAGAAAATGGCCCGTAGACATACCTATAGGAAAGAGACACCAGTGTCTTAACACGTGGCTAGTCCCCTGTGTGAGCCAGGCACCTCTACTTTGCTGTGAATCACAGGCTTGATTCCTAGGGTCTGGTGGAGACAAGCCCCAAGAAACTGGAAGGAGGTTCATCTCAACCAGGAAGCATTATGAAATTGAAGGGTGGGCCCCTTGGTAGTCTGTCAGTCACTCTAGATTTCATCCATTCAATTATCGTTTATTGAGCAACTATTCATTTCTAGCTCTGGGAACACAACGGTGAGTTCCAGCACTGTCCAGGAGAACTCTGCCTTTCCAGTTGTTTTTGACTGGTTTCCTCCCCTGTAGAAGTGGTAGTACTCTTTCA